CCACCCCGCCAGGCCAGCGTGTGGGCAGCGCTGGCGGCTGGAGGTGCTGACCGTTACCATGTTCAGTGATGTGGAGACGGTGTCCTCTTAGCCAACCGCTAAAATGGAGGCATAGGCAGCTGAATAGCCTTTTGGAGTGTCACGGCACTTCACGCGGAACACATGAATGACCGAGGGTGGTAAAAAAGGCATCCTTCCCCCCCCGCCCTGTTTAGCCATAGCCCCCCCGTTTAGCCAGAGAGATAAGAAAGAGAGAGTTAATGCACTGCCTTCCTCCAGCTGGAAAGTGTTGCTCTCTTTCCATTGCCGAGGCTGCTCCGACCGAGAAAGGCCCGAAATCCTTGCCCGATAGGCTGAAGAAAATACAGGTTACTGGGTTTGTTTTAACCTGTGCACATGGGAAGGCGTTTTGGCTGGCTGGCTGGGAGCCGGCCGGCTCCTGGAAACAAGGCGCTGCATTTCAGAGCTTGATTTTTACTGCGGCCGAGTGGCGGGATGCCTTACTTTCAGCTACCTTTCTCCCCGCTCCTTTCTGGTTTTTCTTTTTTTCATTTGGGATTTAATGCCTCTTTAGAAAAGATAAGTTCATTTTTGCACACCTTGGGGTGGTGTGTTCATTTTCTGCCCAAGAAATGGATCTTCTTTCGGATTTTGTACATCTTGATTTATTCTTGGCTTATAGTTTGAAGTGGGTGCTCTTCTAAAAGGATTTATGCATAGGTTCACTATTTTTGTAGTTATGGTTTATATGATAAGCTTTTTATATTTAAAATCAATATGTAATCCTGTGGAGGAGCTTATCCTCTAAAACCCCATTTGTAAATCTATTTTAGCTTTGTTACACCGCGCAGCCACAGTATTCCATAGATTGATTAGGTTCAGCGGCAGAATCCTATCAAATGGCCTGCTCTGATGATGATGCAAACTCTTTCAGGATTGCTAGTTGACTGGAACTAAAGATAAGACCTGACTGCAATCCCCCAATGTGCTCTTTACAAAACTAGTGTTAATTTTCATCAAAGTGCTGGGCTTATTTATTATAGTGGCGAGGTTGAAGGTTTTACTATGAGAACTTTCGACCATTTCTATTAAAGCATTTCTATGGGAACCGGCCGCCTGTTTCCTCAAACTAATTATCAGTTTAAGCAGCGGGGGGAAAAAAAAGACAATATGAAGTCAATGAAGATGAATAATCGAAAACATTTCTGCTTTAACGTGAATTTAGCAAACTCTGTCATTTTAAACTGCCCGTCGCGAGCGGTGGCACGGGGGCTTCAGCTTTCAACACTTTTAGCTCATATACAGCCTCAGAGCTTAATCCTATTTTTGTCCAGAGTGCAGCTTTTATAACAGTATTATTCTGAAATCTTCAAATTAATCATAGCCCATATTGTAGCTTCCCAGAGCTGCAGTCAGCCTGGGTAACTGTATGTGACAGGTGCTATAGGTAATCCTGGCTTAAAAGGCACAACAGGTAGGAATCAAACTTGAACGCAGCCGCTTTTTTAAACATAGGACTGCTTCCTGCAACTGCTGCCCGGCAGTACTTCGTTGGATAAAACAACATTGCAATGTAATCACATATCAAATGTTATTTAAATACTGCTCACCAGTTCCTCTTTTAACCAATTACTACTTGACTCTATTTATTTGGGGGGGGGGGGGAAGCCAGACTCCTTTTCTGGGAAACAAAGTAAAAATGCAAGGGAATATTTCTGCCAGCAAGTTTTCCTGTGACATATTTCAGACACTGATAATAAGCAAATGCAGAAACAAAAAAAAAAACCAACCCAGTTTTGTTCCATGAAGTCCTAATACGACATTATTTACCCCACGGGGCTACAAGACGGGGCAACAAAACCCGTAATTCTTAGAAGGGACTTAACGGAGGAAAAATAGTGGTGAAGGACTGAGCGAAACCTGTACCGAAATATTTTGACTGACGTTTGCTGTTTCAAAAGCTAAAATTGCTGCTGAAACTGGAGAAGTAGGGGGTGAAGTAAAAAAAAAAAAAAAAAAAAAGAAAGAAAAATGTTTTAAAAATAAGAGCTTTTCAAGTACGTGAAAACCGTCAAAATTGCAACATAATTACATCGAGTCCAGGTAGAGACAGGGGTTTTCAGGTCCCTTTTCACCTAGAGCTTCATGCCCAGATGTGCCGGGGAGCCTGGGTCTCAGCACAGTTGTCAGCAGAAGCGGGGGGGAAAGTTACCCTGGGACTTGGGGGCACATCTGGGGGGAGCAAACACCCGTGAAAGTCTCTGCTGTGCCTCTCTTCCTCCTTTTCTGCCCGGCTCACCGCTGTCGCCCTTCGCAGGACGCTTTTGTCACACTGGGATTGCATTGCCCATGCAGGGGCTTTATTTCTGTGGGTAAACCCCTCCGGTTTGGGGAGGCTCTGACTTGCAGAGGTGCAGAGCGGTGTGTTTTAATCGGGTCAGACTGAAGGAGCCTTCCCCAAAAGGAGCGAAAGGGCAGGCAGCGGTGGAAATGGAGGGACCGTGTTGAAAATTAGCACCTAAAAGGCTGCTACCTAAATTAAAGCAGCTTTGTCGCAGGAGAAATGGCTTAAATCGCCAGTAGTTTTGGCTGGTAGCTTCGATTGTAATCTGTGAACACCTGGAAAAATTATTTCTTTAACAACGGTGGAAGGGAAGCGACGTACTTGAAAAAGAAAGAGGAAAAGGAAACGAAGGAGAGAAACTCCTGGGAAGTTTCGGCAGCGCCCTGCCAGGCCGACGCTCCGGGAAGGGCTCTTGTGCCGCTGCACCGAATCCCTCCCCGCTTGCGAGCCCCCGCCGTGCGTGTTCGCCTCCCCCGAGCGTGCCTGCACACACGTGTCGGCGTGGGTTTTCCCTGCATGCGTGTGGACCCGTAACTCGCTCGTGGGCCCGCGCGCCCAGGCAGGAGGCGAGGGCGCGATAGAAGTGGTTACACATTCCTGCCTTTCTG